CAATATGCCCGGGGCCCAGCATTCCTTCATCAGACATAGTCGAATACCGGGCATCAAAGTTGAAAATAAAACGGGCAAACCCAATGGCAACATGCTGTGCATGGGACTGGCGGGCGATAGACTTGAGGGATTCTGCGGAAGATGCTGCAATGTTAGACTGAACATGCGCTGTTCCGGTACACAACAGGTTGATAAGGGAATTGAAAGGAATGTGGTCGGAAAGACAACGTGGAAGTGCCTGAACAGCGACATGAAGAAGATCATAAAATGCTTGTTTTTGATCCACGGCAGTCGCATGATCCTCCCGTCTTCCAAAGCTAAAGTGATCCGCAATGGGCGTTTTGGGTGTAACTCCTCCAAACTTTTCATCGAGTGCTGCTTGCCCACCAAAGGTATTGTCACATAGGATCGTTAATTTCCCAAGCACCTCGCAGAACCTAAAGTAACATTTCCGCGTGCTATCATTCAACTTTGAGGAATTAACGGGGCGGCACGTGTAGCGCACGTAGTCGAGGGACGGTTGGCAAACGCTCCGCTCGGGAAACGGTGAATGAGATGTCTCGGGCCCACCAAAATTCTGCGGGAATGGCGGCGGGTGCTGAGCTTCATTATCTAGATCGACGATAATGGCCAGAAAAGCACGGATCCCGATGACCATTTTCTCCGGCTCCATCTGTTCGATCCTCAGTTCTTTCCCAGACATGAATAAATCGGAATTAACCAAGGGGAATATTATCATTTTAAAACATAAATCAGGGTGTCTGAATCCGATTATGCGAACAAGCTGCGTGATAGGATCAACCACAGCAGGGTCAGAGGTTATGTACGTCCTTTTACCAGTCGGTATCGCAATCCGAATTATATCTTCGATTTTACGAAGAGGATTGCTGAGAGGGTCTGAGTGGCGATATAGGTAGGTCCACAGAAGGCGGCAGATTGCCTGAAGCGCAGTCGTCCGACTTGGTCGATCTTTCAACTTTGGAGGGAGGCTGTGGATGACAGACATCCATTGAGACAGAAACATTTCTCTTGGGGATGCACATAAGAGCAAGGTATGGAGCGGAAAAGCAGTGTTCCAGTGGCGCGGCTTTACCAGTATCTGCGCCATCCGTGGTCCAATGAGGTCTAGAAATTCTTTCCATTTCGGCGAAGATAAACTGCAACTGGGGTTAGCTGCGATTGGCAAAAGGAATATTTCCAGCATCTGACAATATGCCTGTTTTAGCCGTTGACCATGGGCATCGACAATAAGTTTTGCGAGCGAGAAGAGGAAATCACAAGTTCTGTCCCAGGCTTCCTCTGGATATGTTTGAAGTCGCAAGTGTCTCATTCCGTATATGAGTAGTTCAGCTCGAGCCTCTGAGTCTTTCATTGACAACATGCGCCCTTCTTCCTTTTGGTATTGGTTAAGTTCGGTGAGAAATCGAATTGTCACGCTAGCAAAATTGTTTTCGCTCATGATTCCAAGAAGCTGGCTATAGATACGCCAGTTTGCCATTCGAAGTGGAGATGCTGCAATCTGATCGGGGTCGACAGTCTTCAATTGTCCAAACACTATATCTTCAAGGCGATCGGCCATCTCACGGGTGATAGCGTCTATTGTGCTTTGGTTGAATATTTCAATTAGAACCCGGCAGACGAGGTAAACAGATACAGTGGCTCGCCGTTCGGCAAGCACGATATCTTCCTGGCGCGGAGTCGCTGGGATGGTTGAAGCGGTAGGTATAGAGGCATTATCAGCAACCTCGGACCCTGGCTGTGTGGGCTCAGTGTTACGACGGTGCATAGGGACCGGCGCGGGCAACGATTTCGGCTACGATCGCGATATTAGCTCTATAATTAATTAGGGAGTGAGCCGAAAACTGACTTGAACTATCGTTTGTTTCGCAAGCGCCGCCGCCTCGCCCTTGGATTTCCTCCAAACCATAATTGTATCTATCAGTGGCTTCGGCTTTTGCCTTGCTATGTGACCGAGTGCAGAAATGAGCTGATCGAATGCAGGATCTGCACCGGGGCCACAAATACGTTCGACCGGCGTATCCAGTTCGGTCATACTCATAATACAGTGATTAATCTTCTCGTCTGCCAGTCCAACAAACTGAACGCAAGATCAGTAAATGCCTATCACCCTTAAATCGACGTACGAGGTCACAAACCGAGTTGAAGAGGTGGTGAAGAGCATATTCTTCAACCGTTCTTGCCTCATGAGCACCGCTTTTTGAGTGAGACAGATGACGGGCATGTTCCCGCCTTGACTTCCCCGACTGGGTGCCCTTTCGATGCAAACCCTGCTCACTGCCCAAATCGACGTGGCCTGCATCTTGTACGGTAGACAGGGGACTGTTTTCTCGCTTACCATTTAATTTCGATTCTGCGGTTGTCGTAACGCCATAATTGCCCGACGACATCGTAGTGGATGGAGGTGCAAGGCTCGGATTTCGGGTATGCTGTATGCTCCCATGCACGACTGACGCCTGACGGTGATGACCATACGAATTCTGCGGCCGTTTTTCTACTATATCCCCATCAGCGGCGGACCCCGAACGAGCGGCACCAGGTTCTGGGCTTTTCGATGTTGACTGAGATCTAATCTGGGGCTGTGGCTGTAATGAAGGGACGCCAAGTCCAGTGGAATCGACGGGCCTGCCTCGAACCGTAGAGACGTCACGACTGTGGCATCCGGACTGTGGGGGATTCCTAGAATGTATTCGATCCGGAGAAGCTTGAGTAAGAGGTTGCGAGGTCATAGCGGTTTCGTCGGGGATAAACGGCAGTTGTTGGCCATGGCCACGCATCGAGTGAGGGCTAGCTGGATGAGGTAAAGCAGATTAGTAGCTGCTCGGATTCACAAGGGTTTCCCCTGGCAGAGACAGAATCATGATGCTTCAATAGACGTTTTGCTGCACGATGAGACTTGAGACCGGGCCCCGCATGGATCGGAGTCTTGAACTCACAATTGTGTAGCATCTTCTAACAGACGATGCGGGACAACTACGCTCTAGCCTTCCTCTTCATCATCGAGGATTCGATAGCTGGAAACAATTGAAATCATTGCTGCTGTAGAAAGCGGTGGGTTTTCTTTCTCTCAGCTGGCATCCATAGCCTCTGTCAGCCTCGATGTTCCTCGAGCGCGACCTTTTTTTGGGTGCTGATGAAGGCACAGCTCCTTCCATGCTCTAACTTCCAACACCCCTGGCCAGACTCGGCTCCTACTAGGCCTAACACGGTCTAGCACGCGGCTCGGTGCCTCCGTCTCTTATGTAATGGCTGAGGCTTGATCGTGTAACCACGTGATGTCGTTAGCCTCCCGCTGAAGAGTTTCTGCCCTTTTGCGACGAACGAGCAACTCGGGAGAAGCCAGGATTGTCCAGGCGAAAAGCAGCGGATCAGATCCCATGCTGAAGGTACAGAGTACGCAGTAATATGTTTTTCTCAGTGCTTTACGCTTCTGCGCCGATCTAGATTTCCCGTCTCCGCCACCAACTTAATGTGAAACAAGTTCTTTGGATGAGAATGTGAGGGAATGCAGGTGCTTCCCTTTACGATCCATAATAACTAAGTTGACTGTCTCGCTCCCATATATTATATGATGAGTACTCGGTACGGAGGAATTGATTTATATTCTTCTCCAGAGCGCCTTGCTTCACGTACGGATTACGTCCGCAGGGATGTCTCTATGTCTCTATTTTTATCAAGATCGACTTTTGCCATGTTGTGGACATCCTGGAATGTTGACGTTTTTGGTACGACTGTGGCGTCCTGGACCAATACTAAACTAACACTGTAAGCTTGAGTATGGTTTGCAGGGCCCCAGGGTTGGACGGAGGTCACACATCCGCACGTACGCAGAAAAAAAAAAAAGGAAGACTCAGACCTGATAATATGGACAAAGAATGTAATCTCCCCTGATACGCAGAGGATCGTAACGAGGTTTTAATACTCCAATCTTGATATGCCAAAACCCAACGACGCACCCAGATGAATTTAACAAGTTTCGCGGTGGCCGTTTGAAGGCGAACTTGTGAAGTCGGCGTCCGATACATGCCGTTAGTTCTCTTAGTATTTACCGAGCAATTGAATTTATCCATCATTCCTTCATGAGGATCCCGTGGTGCCGAATAAGTAGCATCTGAAATCCCATAACTATGTACATACATACATATTAGTTGGAACTGCTGTTGGCCTCTGAATTTTACTACAAAATCAGCAACAGCCAACAACTCCGGAGTATCCCCGGCCTGGCTTCCGTCGTAGTTTTAGCTTTTATGTGCGTATTGTAGTGACATTCATCTAGGCTCCCATTTGACATCGGGGAGGGAACTGTCGAGATGCTTGCTGGATCCCGAGCACACACACAGATATCGTCCCTTCGTTTGTCTAAAGGATCATAATCGGCATCATCGTGGTCGCAATCTTTTACGAGCCAAACGCACTGGAGTTGTGGGAGGCGTGGCGTTGGGGAGGTGGACCCCGTACTGTTGACATACATACTCCGTACTCTGCGCACAACGCCGCCTTTGCGAGAGCGGCCGCCCACTCCGCCTCCCCAGCCGAGACTCCGAAATGGAATTCACCCCGCACTTTTTCCACGCATTGGGATGTTGTCTTTGCCGTTCTTTAGGCGTAGGCTGATGGGAGCAGGCGGAGAAGAGCCCGGAGAGGAGGCCATCGAACGGTCGGGAGGCGTTGTGGGGGTGGGCAGGAAGCTGGCCGCGCGCCCAGTTCGGGTGGAACGACCTGGAAACAGCGGGACGAAACATCGGCGGCCAAGCTCCAACAGTAGGAAACACTTTCACATGAGTGGCACACCAAAGGCCAAATTCCGCGCGTTGAGGTTGGTTGGGTCCGGCCGTAGCTGCTTTGGGACTAGGCCACTTCGGAAGTGCAAAACTCCAGCCCGCGCGGTCCTGCCTTTCGCACTAAACTCAAAATGTCCGGCAAAACCTCGAATTGCCCGTCAGCCGCCAGAATTATTATTTCTGTCCTCTCTTTGGGATCCTCGATCAGACCAGGTCATCCTGTAGCGAACGCTCTTCCGCAGAGGTCTCCTCATTGTGTTACTTCACCCTTCATGTTTCTATATATCTGCTGAGCCGTTGGTTCCCTCTGCCGCCAATTTACCTTGCGTCCCGCTGTCCCCTGCATTCCTCCCATCGCCGTAGAGCGACAAGTCTCCCAAGATGGCGCAGGTTGACTCCCTTGATCTCGTCGTCCTGACAGTGCTCCTTGTGGGCAGCGTTGCGTATTTCACAAAGGGGACGTACTGGGGCGTCCCGAAGGCAGCTGCCGCAGCCAGCTATGGCTCTGCCAACGGGATGCCCAAAGAAGGCAAGACGAGAAACATTATCGAGAAGATGGATGAAACCGGGAAAAACTGCGTTGTATTCTTTGGATCTCAAACGGGAACGGCAGAAGATTATGCGTCAAGGCTCGCAAAGGAAGGAGCCCAACGGTTTGGCTTGAAGACGATGGTCGCTGATCTGGAAGACTACGACTTCGAGAACTTGGATCAGTTCCCCGAGGATAAGGTTGCTTTCTTCGTCCTGGCCACTTATGGCGAGGGCGAGCCCACGGACAACGCGGTGGATTTCTACCAGTTCATGACGGGAGAAGATGTTTCTTTCGAAGGCGGAGCCTCCGCAGAAGAGAAGCCATTGTCATCATTGAGATATGTCACATTCGGTCTGGGAAACAACACCTATGAGCACTACAACGCCATGGTCCGCCAGGTTGACGCTGCACTGACCAAACTCGGCGCTAAGAGAATCGGTACTGCAGGTGAAGGCGATGATGGCTCCGGCACTATGGAAGAGGATTATCTCGCCTGGAAGGAACCCATGTGGAAAGCGTTATCCGAAGAGATGGGCTTGGAGGAGCGTGAAGCCGTTTACGAGCCCACATTCTGCATCACGGAGGAGCCAACCATGTCACCAACGTCCGAAAATGTTTACGTCGGCGAGCCGAATCAGAACCATCTTGAAGGAAACCTGGGCGGCTCCCACAATGCGCACAATCCTTTCATTGCCCCAATTACGGAGTCTCGCGAATTGTTTACCGTCAAGGACCGTAACTGCTTGCATCTGGACATTGGGATCCAGGGAAGTACGCTCAATTATCAAACTGGCGACCATCTTGCCGTCTGGCCCACAAATGCTGGCAAGGAGGTCGATCGTTTCCTACAGGTTTTTGGATTGGAAGATAAGCGCCATACTGTTGTCAAGATTAAACCCATCGATGTGACGGCTAAGGTCCCTTTCCCTACGCCTACCACCTATGACGCCGCCGTTAGATACTACATGGAGATCTGCGGACCTGTTTCCCGACAGTTTATTGCAACTCTGGCCCAGTTCGCCCCGGATGAGGACACCAAGTCGAAGATGAAGCGCCTCGGCGAAGATAAAGACCATTTCCACGGCCAGATTTCCACCCAGTTCTACAACATTGCACAGGCCCTCCAGAGCATCACCTCGAAACCCTTCACGTCCGTTCCTTTCTCGCTCCTAATTGAAGGTATCTCCAAGCTTCAGCCACGCTACTACTCGATCTCCTCGTCATCGATGGTCCAAAAAGATAGGATCAGCATTACGACTGTTGTTGAGTCCATCCGCGTGCCGGGTGCCGGTCATGTCATGAAAGGTGTCACCACAAATTACCTCCTTGCCTTGAAACAAAAGCAACACGGCGACGCCAACCCGGATCCGCACGGTTTGACCTATGAGATTACCGGCCCCCGAAACAAATATGACGGCATTCACGTTCCGGTCCACGTTCGTCACTCGAATTTCAAGCTGCCTTCCGATCCGTCCAAGCCGATCATCATGGTTGGCCCTGGAACTGGTGTCGCCCCGTTCCGCGGATTCATCCAGGAACGAGTTGCGCAGGCCGAACGAGGCGACAAAGTGGGCCCAACCGTTCTTTTCTTTGGCTGCAGAAACCGCGACGAAGATTTCCTGTACAAAGATGAGTGGGAGGTAAGTTAACACGTGACTCTAGTCCCCACCCAGAAGGCTCAATTCCGCCCTCGTTTCGACGAGCCAAGTCGCTAACAAAAGTTTTTTTCCTTCCTTGCCGCAGGCCGTATCCGAAAAGCTCGGCGACAACTTTAAGCTGTTCACTGCCTTCTCTCGAGAGAGCGAGAAGAAAGTTTACGTGCAACACCGGCTCCGAGAAAACGCCGTGTTAGTCAACGAACTTCTCAAGAACAAAGCGACTTTCTACGTTTGCGGAGATGCCGCCAACATGGCTCGTGAAGTGAACACCATCCTCGGACAGATCATCTCTGAACAACGGGGTCTTCCATTGGAGAAGGGAGAGGAGTTCGTCAAGAACATGCGCAACATGGGAATGTATCAAGAGGATGTGTGGTCATGATGGAAAGAGAAGTAAACACGTCTTACCCAGATCTCACTTTCTCATTTTATACTTTGTATTCCATTTCAATATCCCCCCGTCCCCCCTTTTCCTTTTTAGTCTGATATTACTATATTTGCGCTGATTAGAGAGCGTGAGTTCGCTTCGACCCAGCAACCCTGTGGGCTTTATATAGATCTTTGGCATTGGTATGCGGTTTCAGTTACTTGCCTACAGCTCTTTCTGTTTGCTTACGTCTCTCGCGGACATGCTGGACCGCTGGGAGGTTAACGCTCTTTCTTCTGGTCTTATTTGGTGAAAATATAGGCCTGTTGCATATTGCTGACTATTGTTGGTGCTTTTTTCTAACTTCGTGTTTGTTAGATTGTCTACGATTGATGATGAGCGTAAAGAAACTCATTTAGCCATGTATGTTATTTAATTTAGTCTGCTAGTCGTGTGTGGCCATTTTGCTTCATTGCCTTGTGTCTCGGTGATATTTAGCCTTCAGTTCTCCGTACTCCGTAAACGGCTGCTTGTGCTGGATCAATTTTATCATCATCCCCGAATCCTCCATACACCGTACTTTGCCAGTCGAAAATCGAAGCAGTTCACCAGGTGTCTCCCCTCAGGCAGCCATTGCGCATCGTTTCCGCTGTGCTTGTGAGCTTGGCACAAGTGACACTTCACGGTCGCCGACGGTTAACGTCGGTTGTTCTGAGCTCTGAGGCCATTTCCGATCCGGCCCCGATTTCTCCGCGATTTCGAGTTTCCAAACTTCGTCCGTCGTACCTATTCTTTGACCTGGATTGGGATAACCAGAGGGATTTCTTTCACGAACCTGTGTCCCAATGAGCACATAAATTGAATTTCCAAAATATTCATATCTCAGCTTGGCTATCGTTATGGCCTTAGGTCTCAATTAGACGCTCAAGGCTCTTCAAGCCTTGAACAATATTGGACTTAGAACTTCTCAAAATGCTCTGGTTCAAGGGACCTCAACACGTTGTTGCCACGCTGCAGGTGCCTCTCTGAGGCGCCAACTTAAGATCTCATGTTAGCGCTAGTTATTCCTATCAGACAAATGACAACAACACCACGTCACCTGGCTTGGGGAAGTCTGATATTTTTTGCTATATTGTTGTATCAAAAACATTCATACGCAGCCAACCGCTTGAGTGACCTGTGTGGATAGAGCTCAGTGGAACACCGGCGCATCTGGAACAATGTTTTCAGCTTGTTTGTACAAGACCTGGCCAGTTGACAGGCATATATTAGGGATCTGAGAGGAAATTCGTCTCTGCAATGAACTCTTTCTGCACCCGGGAAGTGAAGCGAAAATGTAGCTTCATCCAGAACAAAGATGTCACCTAGCACCTGCTGAGTCGCCGCCCACTTCCCTCACAGGAAGGGATAGTCCGTCTCGGCGAGCAAGAGGCCTTGCTGTCATGCGGGCCATTCAGCCATTGCTATTGTCAGCCCAGGCCACCTTCTTTCTTCATCATCCGCGGCTTGACCAGTGTGTTCCTGTCTGATCGGGTGCTTCTTCCTTCCTTCACCGCGTTGTTCTTTCCTGCATCTCGACAGTCTATTCTTACCTGCTTATTGCGGAAAAAAGCCTTATCTCAAGGTCTATTTCTTCTTCCTCTTCTTCCACCCTGTCTTTTCTTTTCTTTTCTTTTCTTTCTCCTTCGCCAGAACATCTCACTCGTTTCTCACGGAGCTTCGAGTTAGCATCTTCATTTACACCACTATTCGCTTTATCCCTCTACTGTCTACCCATCGACCTCAGTTTTTATCCCTCTTTTCTACATCTATTCTGCATTCGCTGATAGTTGTGCCCCCTTCCATTTATATCTATCTCTGCCCACTTCGGCTTGTTCCCGATCCCCATTCTCCCTCGAAAGCCCATCCTGTCTAGACCTTTTCTCTCACGACCGTTTCGCTTTCTATCACATCCCGCTCATTATCAAAAGGATATTTGTACGTTCATTGTGTTGTAACCTTCTGTAGTCTAACCGAAGCAGAGGCTTCCAGGCTGACATGGGCTCCTTTGAAAAGCTCGCGGAGCTGGTCCGGGGTTCAATTCCCGAAGACTACCTGCCCAAAGAATCTGACGTACGTGGGCCCATATTTCGTTACTCTTGACTTTGCATGATACGCTTTTAGGCCTGCTTCTATGCTTTTACGAACACTCCAATACAACCAATCTAATGCTACTCTCTTTTTAACTGAAGTTGAGATTGGTTAAATATGCTAACTCTATACTTTTGGCACAGAAAACGGCCACAGCCATGAGTCACCAGGATAAAACGCAAAATAGTACTAGCGAATGCTCCCAGCAACAGGGTCAGGTCCCCGTTTATAGACAGGACACACAAATGGGCTATCCATATATGCCTCCTCAATGCTACGGCCAGCCTCTGAACCCTGGTAACAATGCAAGCGATGTGAATGGCAATCTTGCTTCAGCCTTTTCTAACGTGAATATCCATGGTCACCGTCCAAACTATATTCCAGTCAAGGGCAGCATTCCAACTACCTCTGGTGTTAATGGCGACGTACCCGGCATGCATCTATCTCAACATGGACCATTTGTTGTTGTATCAAGCCCACCGATGTTTCAGGGTAATGTTCCACACGCTCCTCATGTAGGACAAATGCCACCCGAGCAAGGTGGCCCGTTCCAATATGTTCCTCCCGGTATTTACCCTAACTTCGTTACCGGCGCTCCTTATCCGCCTGCGTCTTATCCTGGGTATTCTTGGCCCTACGCGGTGAATCCTGACCATGATCATGCAAAGTCACATCGTGATTGTACTCTAGTTGATGAAAAGGCTTCGGCAAACGATGGGCAGCACGGACAACCAGAATATTATCCTGTTATCGCTCAAGGCGATCGCTCACCGGAGGGCGCCCCGGTTTATAGTGCTTCGCCCCAAACTCCGGGATCCTGTATGCCCTACCAAATGATGAGGGCTGCTGGAGGCTATGTCCTTCAGGACCTAGATTCGCTCGTAAAACAGGATCCTCCTATTCCACCTGCGGTACCTGCGATGTGGACCAACCCGACTGAACTTACCCTTGCGAAATGTTTGGAGAATCGCGAAGGGATTACCAATGTCTACATTCGCGGCTTTCTCCCAGAAATCACGGATGAAATGCTATATGCGTATGCTTCTCGCTTCGGGAAGATCGATCGATGCAAGGCGATTGTTGACCTCGACACCGGGCTCTGTAAGGGGTGAGTGAACAATCAAAAGTCCTATTATTCCCAAAAAGTACATCCTAATCTTGAGCAGGTTTGGATTTGTTCAGTTCTTCAGTTTTGAAGCTTGTGAAAATTGTATTCGGGGGTTCTTTCATCTCGGGTATCAAGCTAGCTTCGCACAGGTGCGCTTCTCAACCCTATTGTCTTTCGACCGTCAGCTAACTCCGGCAGAAATCTCGTAACTCTCGCCTCAAAGACCTGGAGGATAAAACATCCACTAATATATATTGTACTAATGTTCCAATTGAATGGGTGGAAGCTGTGGGTAGCCTGCTTCTGTTTCTGCCATGCCACCTCTGCTTTTGTACTTTTACTGCGATGCATTTCCACTAACAAAAGTATGTTAGGATCTGCGTCGCCATTTTGAGCCTTACCGTGTTGTATCTGAGAAGATCAGCCGTGAAGAAAACACTGGAATTAGCAAGGAGGTTGGTTTTGCAAGGTGAGGAAATGAGATAAGCTATAGTTAAATAAGTTCACTGCTAACATGGTGTAATAAACAGGTTTGAGACTCGCGACATAGCTGAGAAAGTACTCGCCGAGTTCCATAATGTCACCTCTAAGGATGGTGTAAAGCTCATGCTTCGCTTCGCCGACACGAAGGCGCAAAAGCAGCTCAAACATCAGAGTAATGAACGACGCGCTTATCGTGCTGGTGAGTACAGCTATTCTGTTGAAATGGTCCAGGGCTCCACTCCGTCACCGAGCCTCCACCGTTTGCAGCAAGCAGCATCCCATTTCAGTCCCAATTCACAGGGCAGCTATCCTTCTCCAGCTGGAGTCGGACAAGTCTGGACTCCGGCGACTTCGATCTCCCCACCGTAAGTTTTTCTTAGCTGAAATTATAGCTCATGAAGCTAACCTGAGATCTAGAGGCCCTATGCTAAATAGGTCTGTGAACAGCATGCGCGTTAGCTCATGGCCAGGACGCGCTGTGCTCGCAAATATTGATAACACGCCCAGTGCTCGAGGACGACTTGTTGCTTCGAGCCAAGGCTCCCTCTCCGCAGGGTCCACGAAAACCGTTATGCCCGTGCCATCCCTCCAGGGCAGCAAATCCGAGAATTGTAGCCCGAAAAAGGGAAAGAGCATGGTTGATGCTAGTTCGCCAACTCCCTCTGCGAAAGAAATCCGGTTTTCAACTCCCCAAATCCTGTAACTAGGAACGCGTGTAGGGTGCGATACGATATCTGCCCATCACTTCTAAGCCCGGTTTCTTAAATTGTACGGAGGATCGACAGCGTCCGTCCGATTGCCACACCGACGATAAAACAGGCGTACATGACGCTTTTATTATATTCAATTGCGTATTTTCTATAATTTGCCTCGTTTTCTCGAATCACGACGCATTCCGCTGCATGATGTTACCAATGTTAAAGACGAACTTATTTAGTCCATCTGTGATTATTCATATGCACTATTGTATTTGGGAAATATGGAAATCAAAGGTGAAAAAGACGTTACTACCGCGGTGGTGATATGGTTACGACTTACAGTATGCCTCGCTCAACTCAGACCGCTGGGTTGCGGAATCAATGACCAGGCCTCTAACTTCTAGTCCATAGCGACAGTAGAAATAAACGCAGTTGCTCGAATACTTTACTGGATTCCTTTTCGATAAATATGCAGTGGGACCGAGATTCAATTGGGCCTTTATCTTAAAATATATCGTCTAAAACAAAGAAATCTATGAAGGATGTCCGCAGGATGCTGCATACCGACCTATCTTGTCTAAATATCCTCAAAATTCTACGGTGAATGGTAGCGCGATATGTCGCGAGAAGCTGTAAATGCACGATTGGTAACCCGGTTCAGTATCTTCCCAGCCTCTCCTCTTCGTCCTCAACCAACTCATAGGCAGGCCTGAATTTCGGGGTTTCCTGACCAGCGTTGCTGGGTTTACTTGCTTCCATAGGGCTAGCTTTATTAATCTGCAATTTCGGGTTCGGGTGTGTATCGTTTGTGCCTCCCAAACTAGTATAGCCCTGATCATATAGCGGACAGTACTCGACGCCCAGATGGCGGATAAAAGCCCAGATCTCGACATAGTGCCAGTCGATGACAGGATGGATGCGCATGAAATCGGGCCATCCGTGGTCGGTGCGGTCGAAGTGGGTGAGCTTTTCCCCGTGTGGGTCGGTGCGGCGGGTTCCGACGAATATAGCTTTTATGCCAGGGTATTTTTGTAGATAGCAAGCGAAGGTGTCGCGGAGGGTTGTGTGGGGTGGGTCGGTTGTGTAGCGGGTTAGAGAGAGGTGATATGTTAGGGAGGAGGAGTCGACGAAAGTTTCCACGGATGGGAACGGATGCGATGGGCGGGCGTACATGGCCGGGATGGAGGTGGGGGGTTCGTCATCGGGATCATCGAGGAGGTTGGGGTTTGCATTTTGGGATTTAGGGGCTTCAGGCTTGTCTTTGAACGTGCACTGTTGGGCTTGGGTCTTCTGTTTTGTTGAAGAGGGTTCCGGGAGGGGATGGAGGCTGGAGAGGAAGAGGATCAGGAGGACGAGGCAGTCCTTTCCGCCATTGTAGGAGAGGGACAGCTCGTGCAGCTTGTAGCGTGAGAGAGCTTCGCGGACGACGGAGAGAGAGATTCGAGTCTGTTGCTGGACCCGGTAGAGGAGGGAGGATGGGTCGTGCGGTTCAGAGAGGAAGGCTTGGATCTTCGCGTGGAGGGTTGCGGAGACGGAGGAGAGGGAAGGGAGAGAAGTCGAGTCGCCGGCATGCTCATGGGTGTCGGGATAGCAGGTTACCAATTCTGAAGACAGCCGTTCTGAGAGAGAAGCCTGCCCTTGCCGCAGTGCCTTGGTCTCGCCATGTGCGCTGTCGCCGTTTGGTAAAAGGGGCGATGCGGTCGCCAAACCGGCCATCGTTAGAATGACGATATTCGCTGGTCTATTCTTTCTTTCCTTCTGGCGCTTCCAAAAAAAAAAAAAGTTATATCGCAGCCTGTGGCCAATTCAGCTTGCTTCCTGTGGGGTTATCTTCTTTTCTTTTCCCTTCGGGTTGACAGGGCCTTTTTGCGAAAACCTTCCAGCCAATATTGTTGTTTGGCTCTAGGGACTTTTTTTTCCCTTTCACCCCGCCGGCGACGGTTGACGGTAACTTTTTCGCGATTCAGCGGAATGTGGGGTTTAGTGAGTTTGAGACAGCGACCAGTGGAAAAAGAAATGATCGCAGAGCAACCCGTATGTCCTCCGTTGGCCAAACCAACAATTCTGAGATGCGGTTCTGACGGAAGAGGTGCAGCCCGAGCTGAGACGAAACCCTCTTTGAAGCCGACGGCCGAGGGACACCGCCTTTCGCTTGACCTCAGGCTGTCCGCCTCTTATGACTCCAACGGCGCTACGTGGTTATGACGGCGAACAAAAATCCCGGACGTGCCGAACAAATCCGTCGTCTTGGCTAATGACAATGAAGGATAAAAATTTTTTTCCAATGTCTTGTTCAAAATATATTTTGTATTAATTACTGCATATCGACCTTAAAATCCATTATCGTCCAAGTATAATCATCCACAGTCGGATAGATCAGACTCAAGTCGTTCAGCTCCCGCGCAGCCTTTTCCACATTATCGACCGGTGCCTGCATGAGAGACGCCAGGTGCTGTAGATGCAGCCCCTCTCTGCTCTGTGGGGTGTTATTCAAGGTGTTGAACAATTTCCTAGCCATGGGAGACATTGGCGGAAGAGTCCTCTCGCCCGCGGCCATACTGTTATCTGAGCGCATCGCCCCTCCGGAGCCAGAGGTCTGGGCCTTTGAAACGTCGGCTGCGTCTTTACTTGGTGGCGGGCCATGTTTAAAGTAGAGATGTATCGCTGTAGCTTCAAGGAAGTGGCAGTGGTATTCATCCATATTCGTCAGCGGCCGAATTACATGTGCGGTAACTGAACGACGATTGTTGCTGAACGAGCCCAGTTTTCCCCATACTTTTGCGTACCCGTTCACCACGAGTTCCTTTTTCCCCGTACGGCCTGTTGTAGGGTCGCTTGTGTCCATAGCATCACCCTCATGTCGCTCTTCGTTGTCCAGCCATTTTTTCACTTCGATTTCCCCCGTTCCGTCGTCCAGTTTGTATGTTATGAATGTTGATAACTGGGATATGTTGCGGATCTGGCCTACAAATGAGACCTGGGCGACTTCAGTATCGTCGATTTTAAAATCTGCGTCCGAATAGGCTTGCGTCGCATCATTTAGTTGCTTGATTGTGACCGGTCGAAGCGAACTCTTGTTGTATGTCTGGAATGGAATTGAAGTTAGTCCCTAGCTCATAGTCACAAGAGAGAGGGCCTGCGAACGATTCTCTGCATACCTTTCCGCTTTGACTAGCTCCCACCTCACTCATAAATCCTCCTTCACCACCACCACCACCACCACCACCTTGGCCATACGAGCCAGAGGGGAACTGGTCGCCGTATCCGTACTCTGTAAGCACGTAAGCCCTACTGAGTCTGTCTGCAACGGGAGCCCAACATACCCATTGTGATAAATCTGATCTGTGCCCACCAGGCCTAGCTTATCCTAGAGGAACCGACGACGAAATAGCTCCAAAGACACTCCCTCGCGTCCTGCGGCCTTTGGCAGCCCCGCGTCTCGACGTGTTTTTCGGCGCGTCGAAGCCTATTTATTACATAAGCACGGCGGGATGTCGGCAAATGGTTGATCCGGTTTCATTTTTTCGACAATCGCAAAAGTGAAAGACGAGAGACGTGGGACACAGCGTGAGCTTGCTTGGGGCGAAACAGCGTCGAGGGAGATCGGTTTTTTGGCTGGAGTATGGTCTGACGGCAGATTTATCAATTTCGAACTCAAACCCGCCGGTGGCCGCAGCACTGCACTTCACCGGGACGAAGCTCCGAACTCCATTTGAGTCCAGACGAAGATGCTGCACCGCGCAGTTTCTCCGGCCATGTCGGAGAATGAATTTGACATAGCAAAAAGTCTTTTCCAAGGTGAAGCTGATTCTGACATTGATACCCGGCCCCGAAAGCGAAAGGCACCGACTTCGCTGAACCTCGATGTTATGGCCGACGACAACGGCGATGGAGACGATGGAGTCTCCGATGACGACGCCGCTTTTATCGCCGCCCACCAGGCGTCGATGAACCGAAAAGCATCCAACCTAAAGGGTCGGACGGTAAAGAAGGGTGGTGGGTTTCAAGCCATGGGCCTCAATGCCAACCTACTCAAGGCTATCACCCGCAAGGGATTTTCGGTTCCGACACCGATCCAGCGAAAGACCATTCCTCTGGTTTTGGACGATCAGGACGTTGTGGGTATGGCGCGTACAGGTTCAGGGAAAACTGCTGCATTTGTGATCCCCATGATTGAGAAGTTAAAGAGCCACAGTACGAAGGTTGGATCGAGAGGTTTGATCCTGTCTCCCTCAAGAGAACTGGCGTTACAGACGCTGAAAGTGGTGAAAGAGTTGGGACGAGGGACGGATCTAAAATGTGTGCTCCTGGTTGGCGGTGATAGCTTGGAGGAGCAGTTCGGATACATGGCGGGAAACCCGGACATCATCATCGCTACACCAGGTCGCTTCCTCCATCTTAAGGTCGAAATGAACCTGGACCTCTCGAGTATCAAATACGTCGTATTTGATGAAGCCGACAGACTCTTTGAGATGGGTTTCGCAGCTCAGCTTACCGAAATTCTTCATGGTCTCCCACAGTCTCGCCAGACGCTTCTATTTTCCGCCACACTCCCGAAGTCCCTGGTTGAATTCGCACGAGCTGGTCTGCAGGAACCCACTCTCGTACGCTTGGATACAGAAAGCAAAATATCTCCGGACCTTCAGAGCGTTTTCTTTACCGTGAAATCCGCTGAGAAAGAAGGAGCCCTTCTCCACATCCTGCACGATGTTATCAAAGTTCCTACTGGTGAAACAGAGGCGGGAAAGCGCGCGAAGGAACTAGCGATCTCCGGGAAATCTTCAAAGAAACGTAAACGATCAGAGCAAAATAACCCCAACCCACAAGAGTCGCCGACAGAGCACTCCACAATTATTTTTGTGGCAACGAAACACCACGTCGACTACGTAGCCTCCCTGCTTCGAGAGTCGGGTTTCGCAGTTTCATATGCTTATGGCTCTCTCGATCAAACGGCTCGTAAGATTCAAGTGAGCAACTTCCGAACCGGCATTTCAAATATCTTGGTTGTCACCGATGTCGCCGCGCGTGGAATTGATATCCCCATCCTGGAAAATGTTATCAATTATGACTTTCCTTCTCAGGCCAAAATTTTTGTTCATCGTGTTGGACGAACTGCTCGAGCAGGCCGTAAAGGCTGGAGCTATAGCTTGGTTCGAGATGCTGACGCGCCTTACCTGCTTGATCTACAACTCTTCCTTGGTCGGCGACTTGTTATGGGAAGGGGCCAGCAAGAGAGTGCGAATTTTGCGGAGGATGTTGTCGTTGGAGGAATGGCTAGGGAGTCCATAGCACGAAATTGCGAATGGGTTTCCAAATTGTTGGATGAAGATATTGACATTCAAAACCAGCGTGAAGTTGCGATGAAGGGAGAAAAGCTCTATATAAGAACACGAAATTCGGCATCTGCAGAAAGTGCAAAACGAGCCAAGGACGTTGTCGCTTCGGATGGATGGACTATGCTACACCCGCTGTTTAATGACGAAGCGAGTCAAATGGAGGTTGAGAGGGAGCAAATGTTGGCGCGTATAGGGGGCTATAAACCGCAGGAGACAATCTTTGAGATTAGCGGTCGGCGCGGTGGAAAAGCTGGAGATGATGAGGCTCTTGATATGATGCGAAAGATTCGCTCGACGATGGAGAATAAGAGGGCAAAGAAGCAAGGTGCTAACCAGCCAACGACTGATGCAGAAGTTCCAGCGTCTGCCCTGGCAACTACATTGGGGGATGACAAAGATAACGGTCTTGGGGATGATATGGATCAAGACGATGTTGCCGACATGTCCATGGCATCCGATTCCGAACTTGAAGTCACATTCTCTTACCAATCGGATAAATCCAAGTCCAAAAAGAGGAGCGGTGACAAGCAGTCATCTGGCACGTTTCAAAATCCAGAATATTTTATGTCCTATACACCAGCGGCTCATTCTTTCGCCGAAGAGCGTGGTTACGGGGTCCATTCCGGTTCAAACAGCAACTTTGTTGAAGCTTCCAGGGACGCAACAATGGATTTGTCACGCGACGAGGCCAATCGCGGTTTCGCAGAGCCTCGTTCCATCATGCGATGGGACAAACGTCACAAGAAATACGTTTCACGGCGAAATGACGAGGATGGCTCCAAGGGGGCTCTTCTTGTCAAAGGGGAGAGCGGCGCCAAGATCGCTGCAAGCTTCCGGAGCGGTCGGTTTGATGCGTGGAAGAAATCTAAACGGCTGGGACGCATGCCTCGTGTAGGCGAGACAGAGAATCCCGGCCTCGGTTCTACAGTTCCCGCCAGGGGACAAAAGTTCAGACATAACAAAGAACAAGCACCCAAGGCAGCTGATAAGTATAGAGGTGATTATGAGAAGAAGAGAAAGAAGGAGCAGGAACTGCAGAAGCGACAGGCTGAGACGGGAATGTTGCAGTTTGGATCAAAGGGTGGAACGAAGAAGGTGAAGAGCGAGATCAGGAGCGTGGACGATGTGAGGAAGGCAAGAAAGCTGAAGGAAAAACGGAGAGAAAAGAATGCCCGGCCCTCGAAAAAGGGAAAGGCGAGATGATCCTCCCTTCGACCATGGAACTGAGGAGGCTTGGATTGTGTCTGATTTTTTGGAGTTACATGACTACAGTCTTTTGGGGCTTGGTCCAGAGACAGAAATGCAATAATACGTTGATATTCCCTTGCGTCAGAGATCACCATTCAAACCCAAATATCAGGTCAAGGCTGAATCATCCAAGGTCGCGAGTACAGGAGGGTGTTTTGATGCCATCGACACTCGCCTTCAAGAGCTCTCTTCGCTTATCAGATAGTTAATGATTGCAATGGAGAATCGAGACCAAGTGATCGCCAGTATTAAATTACAAACTGATATGGCCTAAATTATTGAAGCTATTAATGATAGCTGCGTGGCTGATCGCATATTATCATGGACTATCATTATGAATGTGCTCTCCACCCCCCTTCAAAGTTCGGTCGCGTAACCCTTTTTGCCTCTTTGACTCTCATGATTTTTGCTTTGGGGAGGGACAGTGTCGAGGCGATATCTTCGCACTTATCTCAGTCTTGCCATCCGAGGATTTGACTTTTGATCGCTGCTCTCTCATCCCAGGTTTACCTTGTCAAATGTTCCAGCTTCGAACACGCCGTCTCCAGGCCCAAGACCACGAAGAAAAATAATGTCTCCCCTGGCGAATAATGACTATCTTATCCAGGCTCCCTCCTTTTAAAAATTTCCGCAAGCTTTGTCCCTAAGAAGAGCTTATCACAGCAGCTCTAGTGCGCCCAGACATAGGACAAGGGCGGTGAAGGAGCCGGATCCTGGCGGATCATGCTGAATCCGTACCGTCAAGAGGCGGGTCTCCCTTCTCCAGACCAGTTAGCATTTGGCTGATCCGTGGGGTAAGTTTTCTTGTCTGCCTTGTTGAGGTCAAGCTCGAAATCTTGCAGTCTGAAGGATTTCATCACGACCATTTTGGGAAGATGCATGGGCGATGTCTCAAATCCAACCAGCGAGCCTCGGCTGATCGACCAGGCACCTTCGGAGTTCGCAGTTCGCCGTCATCCTTGGCACAGTGCCCATGTGACTTCGTCGTTGGTCCTTGTTGGTCTCCTGGAGTTGCAGCTCCTCTGTTGTTGACGATGTTGGGGAGCAACTTTTGATATACATCATTTTCTTTTCGAATATCCCCTCAATTGTTCCGGTCAAGGTCTCAATCCCTGTGGCCAGGAAGCGGTCTGACCGTAATATCGCATTTGTTTTGTCTGTGCGGCACAGGACTCGACGACTGCACAGAAATTCGGAGAACCCATAACTATGACAGCACGTTTTCTGGAGTATCCTTGCATTGCCCGGAAAACATGCAGACCCTTCCTTGGCCTGTTAATTAACTCCAAAATCTGTTCAATGTATTCCGCACTGCGTATCTCCGATGCTACTCCATACCATCCTTTGACCAGGGGCCTTACCGACATACGAGCCCGTGGCGTTGATGGCGTTTGGCGAACGTTAGAGCCTCTGCCCTCCACAGGGAAGGCGGCGGATGATCGGTACCTAGTGATCGAGAAAGAAACATTGCTTTTTCCGGAGCTTTACGAGGACTTTGCTTTTTTGTTTCGATTTCTGGGGCCAGGAGAAGGCCCACTGTGGTTTCATCGACTCCCATCATTCACTTTCATGTCTCTGATCCAGTTTGAGCATCACGTTCCTTTTTGATTAGTTGTGGAACTGGCTCATTTCAATTAAAAAAACGGATAAAGACAAAATATACATAATTTATTCTCCTCCCTGGACACTCCGGTCCCCCATGTCAGGTCCGACCCTGCAATTTTGTTGCCGCGTGATGTCAGC